AAAATATAGTTGGTAAAGTGTCACTAATGGACTAAATCCAACAAATCTCAGAAAATCAGAACTGGAAGATCACCTTCCCAACTTATTAAAGGCCATCTACAAAAACCTACAGCTAACTATAAACAACTGAACAAATTAAATACTTAGCCACAAATCTAACTACACACATGTACTGAAAACTCAAAATTCTGATTGAAAAAAAAAAAAACAAAGACCTAAATAAATGAAGAGACATGTCACCTCCTGGATCCAAAGACCCACCACAGGAAGGTCAGTTCTTCTCAGGTTGGTCTGCAGAGCCAGTGAGATGCCAAACAAAACCCCACAGAATGCTCTGCAGATCTGGACAAGATGATCTAAAAATGCACATGAAAAGGCAAAGCAGCAAGGGGCTGGGAGCTCAGCATGTGGGAGGTCGATCCTCAGCACCCCATAAAAATAAATAAGTAAATAAATAAGTAAATAAATGAATAAATAAATAAAATAAAGTTTTGTATCCATGTAGAATAGAAGTTATTTTATTTTTTTTAAAGGCAAAGGAGCAGGAATTAAAATAATAAAGTGGTAAGAAGTTACCATGGGGAAAAAGGAAGAAGGACACAGCTCTTCCCCACTCTGGAGCCTCCTGTCCAGAGCAACTAGAAAAGCAGGCAGTAGGTCTATGCTTCTGGGAGGAGTGGCTCAGGCTGTCTCCACAGGGGCCCAGGGGATGGGTCCTTGTCTCCAAGGCCAAATCCTCACTTGGTTGCTCTTGGGCCAGAGGACCCAGGAAGCTGCGGAAAAGGAAGGATTGTGAGGATGTGGGCTACTAAGCTCCTGGAAGGTGGCAACATCCAAGGGTGAGGGTTGGGGCTCCCCAGTCTCTGCCAGCTTCTCCGCCTGGTGCTGGGGATTCAGATGGTACACAATGGCCTCCTGTCCCTGCTCAGAGATGTTCAGCCCAATGCTGCTAGAAGAATGGCCTTAACCTAAGAAGGGCCTTAGCCTGAGTAAATCCATTTTAAAATAAAGCTTCAGTCCCCACCAGGCCTGCCTACAGAGCCCTCCAAGGTGGTCACCAGGCATAGCCTGATAAAATAAGTCCCTTTCCAGTGAAGTCTCTGTCATTTGCCTTCTCCCTGATAAAGGCAAAGGCGAGAGATCAGGGTGGAAATCACCAAACCCAATGTCCTGACCTCAGAATGAAAGACGTCCCTGAGAAACCTGGTAATAGCTGATAGGGATTGAAAGGGTGGACAGAAGCACCACAATTTAGCATAAATGATGGAACAAATGAACAGACATTCAACCAGCCAACACTGAGGTCCACATGCTGAGGACCTGGACTGACACCCAAATTCTTCTTGTCATTGTCCTGATGAGGACCTGGACTGACACCCAAATTCTTCTTGTCATTGTCCTGATCCTTGACATCATCCTCACTGCTCTCAAATTCTGCAGCCACATCTTGACCCTGGTGAGAACTGTGACTTCTCCTTAGGACCCTCTCCTCTGCCAGCCATCAGCTTCACTCCAAGAGAAGCCTCCACGGGTTCTCTCTTGATCGCTGCCGTCTGAGTGAGTGTGCATCTGCTGGACTTAAGATCTAAGACTTGAGACTCTAGATCTGGCACTTGGGCTCAGCATGCAGAGGGACTGTCTGTCATGGGCCTGTCATGATTAAGTGTGTTTGCAGTGCTTAACTCAGAATTGTTTGCTTTGAATTGATTGTGTCTATTGCAGTGCCCAGCATTAAGGATGGTCATTCCTTGATTAAGAACCTATAGAGTGGAATTGTATTGAGTGATTTTGGGCTAATAAGGCATTGAGAAGGGCAGAAGCACGTGAATATTCTTTATCTCTCTCCCCTCGACTTCATGTCACACTTTTGCCCATCGTGATAGCTGCCAAGGATGGTGAGTGGGCTTGGCGGTCCAGGAAGCAGAGCGGGTGTGAGCGCAGTGTCTCAGCTGTAAAGGAACACCTGTGGAGGAATACCTGTGAAGAGGTGCACAAAGAACAGACACAGACATACATTAAAGGTACAGACAGACAGAAGGATGGCAGACTAAAGGATGCCTACCCCTCTCTGCCATCATCTTTATTATCCCTGAAGAAGAAGAAAAAAGTTACATACCATCTAATTCCATGACTGTTGAGAGCCACAGCGAGTCGGATTGGCGCCTGGCACCTAAAGCCTGTTGTACTGCAGCTGCCAAGACTTGCCCCTGTTCATTAATGTCTCTGCATAATTTAATATATGTGTTTAAATCTTCATGTTTCCATGGTCTAATGACCTCCCTGCACCATTTATTTGCTTGCTCGTAAGCTAGTTGTTTTATTAATGGCATTGCTTGTTCTACATCCCCAAAGATTCTGGTACCTATTTGTATAAGCCTATCTACAAATTCAGCATAAGGTTCATTAGTTCCTTGTATTACCTTAGATAATTGATCTTGTAAATCTCCATGCCCCTGTAAAGTTTTCCATGCCCTAACCGCAGCTGAAGCGATTTGTGAGTATACGGCAGGATCATATCTAATTTGTTGCAGCTGACCCTCATAAGGTCCCTCCCCTAACAACATATCTATATTTCTCTGAGGATAACCGGCTGCTGCATTTCGCTTAGCCATCTCCATGCAAAATTCCTGATTGGCAACCTTCCATAACAGATATTGTCCTCCATTTAGCACACCTTTGCACATACTAGCCCAATCTGCTGGCGTCATGTCCAAGTTGGTAATGGATTCAACCATACTTACAGTGAAGGGTGCTTGAGGACCATAGGTTGTTACAGCCTCTTTCAGCTGCTTCACTGTTTTGAAATCTAAAGCATGGTGAATTCGCTGCCCTCCTGCCTGCTCAAATACAGGGCATGCTAATCTTTGAGGTCCTGTCTCAGGATCCCATCTATCAATTACGGGGGTTGGAGGCCACTCAGCATATGATGTCTCCATAGGTGGAGCTGTTGGTTGAATACTTACGCCCTCTGGTGATAGAAAGGTGTTAGTAGCAACCTCCCATTGTAACTTCTCCCCTGATAGCCTTCCCTTCTCTAAACTTTCTTCCCTTTTCTGACTAACTTGAGAGACTTCCTCTTTTACTTGATCTAAAATGTCTTCTCCTTGACTAAGCAAACAAGATTGTACCAACGTCCATAATGGTAATGTGACAACTGGCAGAGTTTCTGGGCTTTCCTTTTCTATCCTTTTTAAATCTTTACCATGATGGTTCCATTGTGATATATTTAATAACCCCTCTTTAATGAACCATGGGCTACACCTTTGTATCGTCTTAACGTATGCCCTAACTCTTCTTGATTTTCCTGAGATGCCTCCTTCCTCTAGCAATTTACTTAACACCCTTTCGGTTTGGATTTTACTAATTTTTAATTCCATATTTCTGCTATAAAAATAATGCAACCCAGCAAGATAACACAAAACAAAACTGAAACAGAATGAAACAAAAACGGAACAAAAATGCATTGTATCAATTTTCCTATTTTCTTGAAATGTATATTCGTGGTCTATCTTTATCTCTTCCTCAGGGGCGAACAACTTCAAACCTTGAGCCAACCACTTTCCCCAGTTTGCCTGAGAAAGTTCTAGGGACAGGCAGCTTGAAACAAAAACAAAACAAATCAAAACAAGAACACATTGTTTTTTGAAATGGTCACCCATTCTCTCCCCTGTCCTCAGGGGAGAGCAAGCAGTTTCATTTACCCCCAAGCTTCAGGCATCCCCCACATGGGCCACCAAATGCCGCAGTCTGGCTGGGCACAAAATAACCAAGCCGCCATGAGGCACATGTAGGTTCAAACAGGAACTCCTTTATTGCCCAAACTCCACCGGCACTCCACGCGCGCACTCCCCGGGAACTCTCCCCGCCCTTTCCTGGCGGGAGAACTCAACAGGAACTCCGGAGAACTGGAGAACTCAAAAGTAGCGGGGAGCCCAAGGCAGCAGGAGCCGCCCTATTGCCAGACAGCAGGGATCTATATACAACTGAATACACAGCCTGTTTCAATCCAGGATCATCTAGTCACAGCAATTATACACAGCTTAACTTAATTATCATCATCTTAATGAGTCGCTGGCGTCACCTCTCAACTACTCCTTCTGGCAAAATGCCAGGCGCCATCCCGACTCCCTGTGGCTCTCAACACATAACTACATTCTAATTAGTACTTCTTCAACCCTGAGTCCTAGCTAACTGAGACAAGGTCCAGGTTAAATGGACCTTAACATTAATGGACCTCAACACGGGGCTCCTATTCTCCAGGGAGACCAGATAGCGCCTGCATTGTTGTTCTTTTAGCTCAGAGGGAGGAGGCTGGGCACCCCAGGTCTGGAATCAGGGCAAACCTGTGAAGGACAGTGCTACGGCAGCCAGGCATCCCACGCTTTTGCACAGGAGTTTCCCAGTCGCCAGGTACTACCTAGCAGCCAGGCATTCTATGTCTTTGCACAGAAACTTCCTAGTCACCAAGCATGTCACAATCATGAAGTTTGTAGACCCCAATCCCAAACACGGAACTCCCACACAGAGAGCCACTCCACACCAGGCCAGCACAGGAAGACCAGAGCTACACACCCAGCCACGGCCGCCCCCCAGCTTTCCTGGTGCCCTCTCACACCCCTGTGCCAGGACCACTGCCTGCCTGCCCTGGTCTCACTCCATCATGTGTCCCAGGGGGAACTGTATTAGAACACAGACTTGGAAGGGACCCCTAAACTGAAGCCACAGCAGCTGGGAAATCTAAGATCAAGGTATGTCAGACAAGGTGTCTGGAGACCTTCTTCCTGGAAGGCAGTTGGTCCCCTTGTCACTAGGGCTGCACATGGCAGAGGGAGGGAAAGAGAGCTCTAGTCTCTTTTTCTTCTTAGAGGGACACTAATCCCTGGATAAGAGTTCCACTCTCACCACCTCCTGACCCCAATGACACCACCTCTGAACACCATCACATTTGGCAACAGCATATGAATTTTGGGTGGGAGGGGACACAAACGTTGACACCATGACATTGTGCAATCAGCTCTTTAATAGAATTCATACCATGCAGCGTTTCCCTCAGAAAACAGCTTCCTATGCTTTGATTGAGCTCCACTTAAACCAAGTGCTCATGATTACAAAACAGGGAAACCTGTAAACTAAACCATTCCCACTGGCTTGCTCAAACTCCTCCAAGGTAACTAGTGCCGCCAAGATAAAGCCTTGCATTTACTGCTTTTCCCGCTTGCTTCTGTACAGCATCATCCCAATGAGGCCAGCAACACCCAGGACGACTGATGCAGTACCAATCACAGTGAAGGTGTCAGTCACCTGCAACAGAAGACAAGGGGGCGGGGTCACATCAGGGGTCTGAGCAGAGATCCTTGTCCAAGGAACCTGCAGCTCAGGAGAGACCCATGATCCCTGTCCTCTTCACCACATCACAGAGGAAACAGTGACTGGCAGGGAGGGGGGATCCCAAGAGATCAGGCCACCCAGGAGAGAGGACAGGAAGTCCCTGGACAGGAAGGAATGAGTGCAGGACTGAGTCTCAGGTATGAGATTGGAGTCTCACAGGAGGAAAGAGAGATGCAGCCTAGAGGTGTTTAAAGCATGATAAACCCATGGGGTGGCTGTGGGAAGGACACAGTGGCAGGGCTCAGATGTTCTAGGTCAGGGGTGGCCGATAGGGAGCCTTGAAGCAAGTGCCAAGTTGGGGAATGACCCCTGTGAACTCCCACTGCCCAGGGCTTGAGGACAGGGACCCACCTAGGTGTTCTTGGTGTCCCTGGTGCTCAGCCCACTGCCTGGCACAGGTGGACCCTGGTGACTTCGCTGCTGAGCAAATGGTGGACGGGGAGCAGCGCTGAGGACAGGCTTTTGTGCAGTGAGAGGCCTTGCTTGTGTGTGAGAGGGAAGGGGTCCTGCTGAAGGACAGAGTGGGGACGTGAGGGGGACCTTGATGGTTGCTGCTTCAGTGTGAGCTGACATGGCCATCCACGACCCGGGGTCCCACCTTGCACACAGGTGGAACTCAGGCAGAGGGGACCACAAACACCATAAGAATGTTGGGGCTGGGGCTGGGGCTCAGTGACAGAGCACTTGCTAAGCATGTGTGAGCCACTGGGTTCGATTCTCAGCACCGCCTATAAATAAATAAACGTCCATCGAGAACTAATAAAATATTTTCTCAGTTACTTTCTGTGTTTTCTGGTCGTTTGACAGCTTCTGTATTTTCTTAGCCCTCCCAACAACCACGTGAGATTGGCTTTCTAATTCCCAACTTCCAGTTGGTGGTGACTGACGGTGATGAATGGAGAGACCTCACTCCAACCACACAGCTGGCAAGGGACAAGGCTCAGTTCTGCTTATGCCTTCACAGCCAGGGAAGGAAACTAAAATCAGTGACCCAAGGACAGATTTCTGGGGAGCAGCACCATGTGCAGGTGGGAGAAGAGAAAGGGCAACAGTGCACTATCTTATCCACAGACACTTGGATCACCTCCATGAAAGCTGGACACTAGTCAAAGCAATGACCAGAATCTTCATTCAGCCACCACTGGCAGTGAGCAGAGCTCCACTGCAATTTGTGAAGAGGTAATAAGTATTTCTAAGTGAGATGAGGGTGCAGGGGTGCGGGGTCGGTGTCTTTAGTGTCAGGGAGGTGACAAAAAGTGACAAAGGGTGGTCTCTGTAAACGCAAGGAGGCCCCCTGAGTGTGCTGCCTGGCAACTAATGAGGTTTGGATTGTATCGTCTGATGGAGATGGCAGGAGGCCCTGGCTTTTCTGATGGATATATTCCGAAGGCATGACTCTCAGACCTTGGAGAATGACACTTCTGAGTTGTAAGGCTTCTATCTATGTCTGTGTGATCTTCCTATCTATCAATCTGTACCTCGTAGGATCAGATGAGGGATTCATAATTATAAGTCCATTTTAATAAATGCACTAAGACAGAAGGTCTTGGGTCTGTCGTCTGCTGCTGTTTGGAGAAAACCAACAGCACATTCTCATGAAAGGCAGAACTTTCTCAAGCAGGCATTTGAAGAGGGACTGGGAAGTTCCTCGGGACAGAGCTTCATATCACCAGGGACCATGCTAGAGGTCAGTGGTCTATCAGAGCAAATTGTGGACAGAGTCACAAGGGTTCTGCAGTGCCCACAGCACACTGTGTACAGAGAGAGAAGGAGAAAAAGAGCTGGAGACAGGGCAGAAGGGAAGGAAGGAGTGAGAGGGAGAAGACAGGCGAGTCATTGAGATACCTGCAGAAGAGGTTCCCAAAGAGGGACCCCAGGCCAGGTAGAAACTAAATGGCACAGCCACCACTGAGTGCCCCAGTCTTGCTTAAGTTGAACTCTCAGGAGAAGAGCAGAGAGCCAACCACCCCTAAAACACCCGGGGTGGGGACTGATCCTTGGGATGTTTGTACAACCTTTGGAAGTGGTTTAGATGCATTACAAGGCAGCCCACCACACCACACGTAGCAGCAAACCACCAGACATATGTCCACCCTCCACAGCTGACAGGAGGGGAACCCATTCAGCAAGGTCACAGCAACCAAGTAGGTCTCACTGCACCCCAGTGCCCAGAGCTGACCTGCGTTCTCACTATCAGCCTGGGCTGGGGCCCTCACTTCCAGAAGGTATGGTTTTCCCTGCGCACCTGCCCTCTTCACCACAGCCCTTCTCCTACCTTACCAAAGGGCACAGGCCAAGGTGCAAACATACCTGGACACCAAAAAGGGAGGATTCAAGAATGCATTGCTCCCCAACAAGAGGTCTCCCCAAATAATACACAGCCCTGGGGAGGGAGGCCTCCTGCCAGGTCCACCACCCACTGATATTAGGATACCAAAGGGAGGTGGTGTCATGGCCATGGGCA